GCCGGGCTCCGCTGCTCTTATTTATTAGCCCAAACCCCGCCGCGCTTGCCTTGCCCCGGCCGCACTCGCACCGGGACCGGCACCGGCCTCCCGGGGTGGTGCGGTGCGGGGTGGGGAGTGGTGGGCAGCCCCTTACCTGGCCGCGGACGGTGCCTGCTCGGCGGGTGCTCGACATGCAGCCGCCCGGGGAAACCCTCGGCCGGGACACGGGGCGAGGGTACCGAAGGGAGGGGATAACCAGGCAAGTGAATGCGGGGAAGCGCTGCAGTTAGAAAAGAGTTAAAAAGAATAGCAGGAAAGATCAAAGAGCCGGGTAAAAGACTCTTCAAATTACACGTTTGAAGCTTTTCCATAATTTCAAGGCGACAGATAGATAACAAGCTGCACATTCCTTATCGCATATGGAATCAATCTGAGCGGAGTCTCCTGATCAGAATCTGTTAATTGCAGTGACATATGATTTGGAAAGAAAACACAATTAATGACCCTTCGTGTTGAGGCTTTGGGAAGAGGCCACTGACAATCTGTGCTCTGCAGCCGGCGTCAACTTTATTATTATTATTACTATTAGTATTAGCATTCGTGGTAAGTGGTAATAGTGGTACACTCTTTGGGGAGCCTCTCCCGAGCCACAGCGACTGTTTTGTCTCCTTTCCCGTTCCAGGTCCCCTCCGGAGGGGGAGGAGAAGGGGACGGGAGCGTGCGCCTCTCCTTAAAGGTTTGGGGAGCCCGAATGATTTAGTACCTTGTCTGTAAATCTAATGACCTAAGGTGAGAAAAAATATTTCATCTTTTATTATTACCATTTGCGGTGAACGTTACCAGGAAACAGCAGAACCCGTTTGAAAATGGTAAATATATGTGTCCATTTAAAAGCCATTATCGCAGAGATTTTCCCAGAGAGAAATAAAGCAAATCTCCCCCAATAACATTTTCTAGCGCCCTCTGCCCATAGCAGCTGCTCGGAGCCTCCGCTGCAGGCGTCGGGAGCGCGGAGATATCGCAGTTTGTTTCCGCGTGTTGTGAGCTGGGGTGTATGTTGTGGTGTGTGTGTTTGCGCGCGCTTTCAAACGCGTGTGCGCGCCCTGCAATACTGTGGCAGGAGCAAAGCAGCGTTTTGAAGAGCTTGACTCCGTCATTAGAAGATAATGGCTTTGTTTTAGGAGAGAGATGGAGAGAGAGGGAGCGAAAGAGGTTCATTTGAAGGTTATAAAGCATACACTTTAATAGGATCGAAGTGAAATTAGTTAATAAGAAAATGCTGTCCAGAAGCTCTCTGGGCTTTTAAGTGCTCTCCGGGCCATTTAGGGAAATTGAATAAGAACAGGCTCAGTTACCTGTAGCCCCAACTATTATCTGCAGTTCTGCGCAGAGGCGAGAAAGGAAAAATAGCGCCTGGGAGAGCTCGGCTCCCGTCGCCTCCTGTCAGTCCGTTTCCTTGGAAAACCGAGAGTCTAACGGCTCCCACCTTCCTCCCCTGCTTGCCACCAGTTCTAAGCAAAGGTAAGGGCCACCAGCAGGCGCTGGTGGCCTCGGGGGCCTCCTTGCTCCGGGTTTTTGGCTCTGCTTGCGCCGAATTTTTCCCACCATTGCGGGGCTCTGCGGGTTTGCGCTCGGAATGGTGCCAGTAGGTCAGCGTGTTGTGTTACCTGCCTTCCTATCTGCCCCCGCTCCCTCTCCCTCCCAACTTTAGAGTTTCCAGAGGTGTTAATAAAACCTTTCCTTTGGTAAATCGCTCGTTAGAAACCCCCACTGAAACCTGGAAAGACTTCAGAAAAAAAAAAAAAAGGGAAAAAAAAGCAGCCCTGAGGAATGAGACGTCGGGAGAAGGCTTTTGTCCAAAAAATGCATAATTGCTGTGAATCTTAGGAAACATTAATCTTTATAGGAATTTGTGATTCATATCTGTGGTTTGACCGTTTGGGTGATTTATAACCTGTTAGTGCACTTCACTAATTTTATGCCAATATATTTTACGCACGCTGCCGGGCTCTCCGAAGCCCTCCAGAATGAGCCGCTTTGGCACATTTTGTGCACAAATGCGGTTCTTGGGCCTCTTCCGGCCCCTTCCCACGCAGAAAGCCCGCGTGGGAGCCCGCGAGGGCGAGGAGAGTGCGTTTTGGCCACCTTTGCCCGCGGCGGGGGGTGCAGCTCTGTGGCCGCCACGCGGTTTATTAGCAGGAGGAAAGCAGAGCAAAGCAGCAGCTGCGCTGAAGATAACACTGCGCGGGGTCTAATCTGATGACACCGTCATTAATTACTATTGTATTAATTACTATTTTTTTCCCAAACAGTCCCTGCCCGGAAGAGCTTCCAGCCCACATCTGCTGTCTAATGATACTCTGGTGCAGAAATTGTTCCTCCTATGGCTCCTAGGTAACGTTTACAAGCGGCAACACCTACAGTATCAAAGCCCATAATCTCGCAGCCTGAGATTTTCTGTCCCATCGGCCTGGGAAGGATGATTTTGATGGCGATAAGATGCATTTAAATATCAAAG